GATCTGCCGGCGGCAGGGTGGCTGCCGGGACCCTCCATCCGACGACCGTGTGCAGTTGTACACCGTCACGCCCGGGCTCACCCTCAGCGTGCACACGCTTCGCTCCACCAGCGCCGCTCTCTGCCGCCCGGGGTCTGCTCCATCACGGCCCCACAGCCCTGGCCCAGGCACCCATCATCCCTTCTGCAGGGCTGAAGGACAGCCGAGGGATGGGGCAGCGGATTCGACATGGCAGGGTGCTGAGGACGCAGCCGGTGGGTTATTCTGCTCCGTTTCTGCCTCTAGCGAGGCACGGTCAGTGCTACGGCTGAGAAACAGGGCTTTTGTTTACCTCACGCTAGGGTGGTTCTTCGGTTTTTCTCTGCTTGATTTACCTCCCTTATTAATTTTACTGGTTTTCAGCATGCTAGGACTGTGTGAAACCAGTATATGCAAAAAGATGAAAAAGAGAGATGAGTTGCCAGAACTGAGCGGACGAGTCTCTAGCCCAGTGCTTTGAGAGTAGCCGTCTTTGAGAGCGGCTGGCAGGGCACACAGGCTGCAGGAAAAGGAGAAGCATTCCTGGAAGGTCCAGGGCTGGGCTGTCCTGTTCCTTGGGGAAACACCTGGCTAGGGCACACGTTCAACAAATCCACATTTTGGCACCTGCATTGCTCTCAAGAGTTGTGGCAAGTACCCTCTTTGAGTATCTGGGACCTAGTGTTTGGCCAAAGCTAGAAGAGCCCGCAACCCTCGCCGAATCCCTGTCCTACTTAACAGAGTCAAAGAGGATGCTCCTGTTAATGAAACAGCTGTCCCCGTGCAGCACCTTGTGAAAAATCTTCTGGGTCAGAACAAGAGTCATTCTGTCCCCCTTTCATACTAGATTTTTTCTTTTATTAATGTGAGGAGGATGTTTGTTACACACAACATTAAAAAAAGAAAAGACAAAAAAAAGCAACACACCCTGGGAAATCTGCTTCTTAGAGATCACAACTGTTTGTGTTTCATCAGATAAATTAAGGCAGCTTCAGCTTTATTCTTGTTCTGGCTCCTAATTTCCATAGCCAAAAGCTTGCAGAAAATTTTACATAACATTTTCTGCTCTGAAAGGAGTCAAGAAATATCTTCATGGCCAGCCTGGTCTTCCCCATAAATTAAATTTGTGCATAATGATTTTCTCCAAGGTTTAACATGTCAAGTCTCATAAAATGTTTAACTAGCTCCTTTCTCTGTTCCTGGATGTAAGTGGAATTCATTCTTCCATGTTTAAAACATCAGCTCTTTTCCTTAAAGGTGGAGAGACTCCCTTTGCTCTCCACAGAGCTAAAAAAGAAAAAATGAACGGATGAACGATATTTATGTCACTCTTTGGCAGGAGTCTCATGTCTAAATACCAAGGCAGGTTTTCCAATGCCCTTTGTTTAGACTGGTGACTTCCCTCACAGCGGAGGTGCGAATGCACAAAGTCGGTGGCAGCGATTCTCTGCCTCCAGCTCTAATCCCCAGAGCAGAACCGTGTTGGTGTGGGTCTGGTTTTAGACTCTCAGAGCAAATCTGGGGCGACATTTCCAGACACACTCTCAGCTCCTATGCAGTTCTGCCGAGAGCAGGAGCTGCAGTCTGTTGCTAAGGCAAGACCTTGCTCGTTAGCAGATGTCATCTCTGGTCCGGTTAAAAAAAAAAACCACAACAGTTTGGAAAACCACGGAAAGATTGCTGATCCCTGATCTAGCTGCTAGTCCAGCTTCCTCCCTGGCTCTAAATTGCCAAATCTTTAACACATGGTGGGACCCTTTTGGCTGGGAGCTAATACACAAGGAGAGATGCTGACGACTCTGGTTTTCCTTCCTTTCTGCTCCACGCAAACTTATTTGCAGAGGGGACTGGAAGTGGGAGAGAAAAAGAATTTTACTGAAGATGACTCTGTCCCTGTTTCCGATCAAAGCCCCGGCCAGTTAAAGGCTAGTGGGGAAGGCTAGAAAGGGTCCCTGTGCTGGTGTGGTTGGAGTGTTACCCAGCAAGAGACACTGCTGCAGCTTACCAGGACCCCAGAGGGATGTCCTAGCATCCCTCCAGCTGCCCGGGGCTCTGTTCCCTGTCTTGAAGGGAGAACAACGGAGAAATAACAGCAGGGTGAAGAGCAGCGGTCAGGCGTAAGGGGGGGAGGAGGAATATCACCGTTACTGTTACTAAAGATTCAGAAAGCAAACTGCTAAGAAATCAGAGAGCAAAAATGCGGTGAATAATTAAAAGTAATTACTTAGCCCCCAAGCAGAGGAGAGGTTGCTTGTTTAGTCAACAGGAAGCCGTGTGTTGGTGCGTACCGATATAAATACATATTTATTTTTTCCATTCACCCTTTGCTCAGAAATCGCATTTTGAAACAAGCGCCGACATCACCAGTTGGTTGGTTCTTACGCTGAACGCAAGAAACGCAGACACCTGCTCGGCCTCGCCTCAAGCGAAAACCTCAAGCAGAAAAACTTTCTCTGCTCAGCAAGGGCTGATGCACCACGGACACCGACTTGCACAGAGACCTTGAGCAGGGGAACGGTAGAGTTCCTTGCAGTTAGACATAGGCAAATTAATAAGCTGATGTGCTTATTTATTATAAGCACCTACCATGTAATATGCTAATTTGATATAAGTATATATTAAGCACATTACATCACATTCTGCCTTCGTTCCACAAACATTCCTCACCCGATTTTGAAGGACGGACCCAACAGATAGGTAACGCACTTGCTTGAGCACCTCTGCCAGGCAGACCCCTCGCATTATTCCAGTCCTGGGTGTAAAAAAAAAAAAACCCGACACAATGCAGAGCAGCTTGCTGTCTAGGACACGGGGCAAAAGGGCCTTGTCCCTCGAGCTGCCAACTCATCTTGTGACACAGCTGTGGATGCCATGCGTGGGGAGAAGGTTTCAGCAGTTGCATGACAAAGCACTGCCTTTTGCGGTGCGGAATATGCAGCAGCATGGAGATACGTGAAAGCTGTGAGGACATATATATAGGAGGTCCGTCCTGGGGTGGACATCACCAGGAGGGGGGGAATGTGGTGGAGCGGTTGCAAACGCAAACCTAAAGCACTGTGGGGTGAGTGTCACCGAGGCTGCATCTCAGTTAGACGAGAGCAGGGATCCCAGGTCATGAGAGGGAAGAGGGAAGGAGAGAAGGCAGGAGTTCAGGATGAGGGGGAGTGACAATGGGAGGGTGGGTTGATGAAACCTGGACCCCTGCGCTGTGCACCGCCGCATGCTGCAGGATTGTAGAGGATGCCACAGATGCAGAATTGAGGGCATCTGGTTGCTGGGCGTGCACAAAGATTATACGTTATCATGCGTTTTACTAGTGATTTGGCTTTCCAGGCTTGCACTGCAAAATCTTTACCTGGAGACTTGACTCATGGTTTATTTTTGTTGCACTGTTGAGCTTGTTTTGGTTCTGGGGGATGAGGCAAATTAGGGCGAAACTATTGAATTGAGTACACGTTCTTCAACCACAGTCCTGTGAATGCCTCTCATTCCTGCCCTGTAGCTCGCTGCTAGCCCAGCCTGAGGCTCCTTATAGGAACTAACGACCTTTAATCCTGCCTCTCTGACTGCTCAATTTTTTCTCTCCCCACCTGTATTAATTGCCCCCACCATGTCTCGAGGCAGCAGCAGTTCTGTCCCTTGCTACCGGCGACTGACACCTGCTGGGATCACCAGCAGGAAGGGAAGAAAGGGGCTGGGTTGGGTTGAGGAGTCCGAACCCTTGTGAATGGTTTCCCCATCAGTAACGTAGGTAAGAAGTGTGACCAACGTCCAAGTATTCACGCTAAATGTCCTCAAGTGCCTTCTCTAGCTTGAGGCCGGGACATGGTTGGCAGGTTATCTCATTTAGACTAAGAAAAACAAACTCTGCGATCAAAGCATCACCCGTGCTGAGAGCTGGGTGGGGAAGTACCCACCAGAGCTGCTTGCACCCTGCTGCTTCCCATCGCAGTGGGTGCAGCTCCAGCCTCCAGCACACCCTGCCCATCTCACTTGGCTTCTGACTCCGTGCTGCCCAGACCTGGAGAATATTCTCTTTTTGCACAGGGAGCTGCAGGCTGCCTTTCCAATGTTACTCCGTTCTCCTGCAGCTCAGCCCCCCTGGTCTGGGCAGCCCAGACCCTGCTCCCAGTCATATCTTCCCCCTCCTTAATGGAAGTCACTGGCTCCGTATCTCTGCAATCATCTGCTAGTCACGGGGAGAAATTCAGTTTTGCACCGCAGTTTTTCACAATGAGACTCACCTTCTAGCTGTGGTTATGGTTTCACAGACCAAAGTTGCCTGTTATCAGCTCCTGTTTGTGCAGTTGCTGCAGCTCATGCTACTCAGTGCAAAAAAAGCTTGCACCTGGGGCCTGGGTGGTAAATCCTGATTTTAATTTCCCTGTTGTCTTTGGAGAAGTCCTTTGCTGGAGAGGCTGGGACAGAAGTGCTTGGGAGCTCACTGAAGAGCGGCACATGGCATGTTCGTTGGCTTGCAGTCACATGTTGAGTTCTCTGCAGTTGTACAAGCTTTCCTTGGCTGGAGGTCCTCATGAGCAGTGTTCTTGCATCTTACAAAGTTTTCTTATCAACCAAGCAAGCATTTTCAGAAGATTCAAGATAGCCTTGCTACTTCTTGCCTTCCTCCCCCCAAGACTTCAGAGCTGCTCCTATGCTCTCATCACTGGCTACATCCAGAAGGTTTGTGGCGTGCTACCACTAACCTCTAGTCCCTAACGCCAAAGTGTCAGACAGTAGAATTAGGGTCTGCCCCTGACACCCTGATCCTCTCCCAGGAGGCCCAGTGCCCCTGGCCATGGTGGTGAGATGGGAGACCCATCCTGCGGGCAATGAAAGGAGGGATAAGGGGGTGAAAAGTGATTCTCATCGTATGCTGAGGATCTCCTCCTTTGCTGTGATACCTCTGCTGTCTTTCTTCCTTGCTTGTGCACTGCCATGCCCGGCCGTGCCGACTGTTAGCATCTGTTATTTCTTTAGCCATGACCCACATGGGAGGCTCCCAAGTTTCTGCTGTAAGCAGTGAGGTCAGAGTTGTGACAGACTTGAGCTAGCTGCCCAGGCAAGGGAGGGTATCCAAGAGTCTGAGAACTTCCCCGCTAATCTCACAGAATTTAAAAATACCCTTTCATGTTCCAGCCAAAAGCATGGGTTCTGCCTGGATGAAAAGGCTGGTAGAAGCTCCTAGAAAGCAGAGGAGAGAAAGAAGAGGAAGAATCTGAAGGGGAAACAAAGACCCTGGGAAACCACTGATTCTGCATTATTATCAGAAACTTTAATTCACTGGCGCCCATTGGTTTTAGACAATGCTTATAGCATTCCTTCTGCTTCCCACTCAGATGTGGCCCCAAAACAACTGTATCTAAAATATGCACCTCTTGCATTCACATACACAACCAGTTAATTCCCCTTTGCCCAGTTTGTACTCGACGAGGGGACACCACGTCCACTCATCTCTTCCGTCATTTCTGTGCAGCTGTAGGTAGGGTAGGGCACAGGCACATTTACTTTAAGATGGCTAGCTTGGTCTTTTCCAATTTGGAAAACTGGTCACAAGACCAAAAAAGCTCGCAGGTTGGGGAGGCAAAAATCCACCCTGAAGGAGTGCCCCTGGGGACTCTCAGGGAACAGAAACGGCAAAGGGGCTTGCAGAGACTGTGAAGGGTTCAGATGCCTTTCCTAAACTAAACCAAAGGGAAACTACAAAGATACCAGCTGATGGGCAACGGAGCCAAGAGAAACGGTGTAATGATGGTGCTGGGCTCAAGCAGAGCTAACGAGAAAATTTCTTGTGACCACGGTATGGAAAGCCTCAGGAACAACTACATTCCCACTGTACTAGGCAGAAAAGAAACTCTTTTGAACCCTTCCTCCACAGCAAGGACCAGGCTGAAGGCTAAGTCTAGGCTCTGGAAGAAAACAGGTTTTATTTGTTAATCCGTAATAATGGCCAACGCAGCTTGCTCCAGCTGATCTGTGCTATGTGGGTGCCAGACAAGGGACATAGCGGGGTGCAAGCATTTTCGAGTGGGTGTGTTTTCTGATATCGTCTGACTTGGGTGCTACAAGGGAACAGCCGGAGCAGTAAGGCCCATGGGAATGCCTTCAGCATGGAAAGGCTTTGTAGGTACAAGGCACCCAGTACGAGAGGTGGCACGCTCATGCGTGCATCAGTGTGAAACCAAAACCTTGGCCAAGACATCACGTTGGTAGGCTGTGCTGGCTATCGCGTTTGAAGCGACTGCTGTTGTTGCACATGCCACCGCTGCTCCAGCCTCTAAGGCATGGGCTGAGAAGCCGGAGAAGGTGGCAGGAGGATCCAAATCCTGCCAGACCCTGTGTCTCCAGGGGGGTGATTATGGGGGTGATGACTGCCTCCAAGAAGCACAGAAGAACTTTCTCTCATCACTCTGAAAGGGAACTGAAGTCTATGCAGTACAGGAGGACAACAGTTGCTGCAGGCTGGGGCTCGGGAGCCTGGGCAAGGGCAGCACAAGAGGACTTGGTAGTTCCAGCTCCTTTAAACTCAACAACAAGCCAAGAGGAAGGTGCCAAGAAGGTAGCAAAGGCCAAGAAGCACCTGACCCTTGACTGGCACTGCCAAGAAGCCCAGATTAGCTGTGGCTGTGAAGGAAATTCCAAGGAAAGCCAAGAAACTGGCAGCCACCGTGGCCAAGAAAGCAATCAAGAGCTTAGAGAATATGAAAGCTGACAGACCAAAAAAGGCAAAGATCCAGCTAAAGGCAAAACAGTGAAACCCAAGGTTACCAGACCCAAGGCACAGAAATCGAAAGTGGCCTCAGGCTGAGAAGGTAGTGCACAAGAAGTAGATGCTGTAGGAGCACAAAGCGTTCTGCTTCAAGGACACAGAGTGTAAACCCTTCAATTAAACCACTGATTTTCATCATGTTTTGCATTTTTTTAACACAGTTGCCCCAAAGGAAGATAATTAATTGTAATAATTAAGATACTTTGTTTTGCAATAAAACTCAGGCTTTGTATAAATTAAATGTTCCTTCTTGCTATTTTCTTCAATCGTCTGCAGCAGCAGTATTGTAGGGGAGGTGGAGACAGAGCCTGCTCGGAGGTGCACAGCGAAAAGAATAGGGGCAACAGACCAAAGCTGCAGCATAGGAATTTCTGATCTGACATCAGGAGAATATTCTCCATCTTAAGTGTGGTGCAGCACTGGAACGGGTTGTGGATTCTCCATCCTTGCTGACTTTTTCAAAATCCAGCTGGACAAGGCTCTGAGCAATCTGATTAGCTTTGAAGTTAGTTCTGCTTGCTAACTTTCAACGGGATTTTATCTATGATCTTAACTGGAAAGGTATACCATCTCAACAACGACATTGATTTTAAAAAATGCACAGCTTCATGTACATTTATTCTTATATTTAAGCAGGTGAGTTCTCACATTACTCATTATTTAGACACATTGAATTACACATGTTCATTTATCACATCTTTTTGTTAATGTCTAATTTGTGACAAGCTGTATTTGCATGGAAATTGCAATCTTGGTAAAATGCCCAAAACAGCATTCTGAAAGAGAATTTATTCATTAAATGAAGCTTCACTCTTGATGTCTCTCACCGATTCAGTTTTTTTAAAATACTTCAACATAGTATCAACAAGTACATGCAGCTTGCATTTCAACTAATTTATATTATTGAAAACATTTGTATTTGAAAAAATCATTTACATTAATAGGAAAGTGGATAATCAAATTAATTCATGATGCTTCACACGCTTTTTTTTAATTTTTTTTTTTTTTTTTTTTAATGAAGTAAAATCCAGCTCTCTCTTTTGTGGGACTTTACTCCAGCTTGCTACACTACAAGGGCTAAGGACGGCATGGAAAAGAGAGAAACGAAGGATTATGTTGAAGATCAGAGAGCAGGAGGTGAAGAGGAGATCCAGAAACTGAATTTGGATTTCCTGTGCCCCAGTCAAGGGGCTGTTCACAACTGGACAAACGTACACTGACAAACAGTGTCAGACCGTGTGGTGCCAGCACTAAATGTTATGAGATCATGCGCCTTTAAAATATTTTTAAAAAAACCCAACCAACCCACAACTTTTTTTTTTTTTTAATTTTAAACTAAAATCCCTTTGGGCTCCAAGCCAGCTATACTTTATGTCATAGAGGTGCTCTTTTTGGAGGGGTTGCAAGCACCGCTCCCCCGTGCGAAGGCCAAGCCCCCACCCCAGCCAGCAGTACGCCCTTGAGGGATCCCTCCAAGCCGAGAGGCTGGATGACAACACGTTTTGTTCATGCTGCCGGTTCTTCTGGACAAGATCCAGGCAACATGAAGCTTCCAGGTGACGCGGCAGCTGCAGCTGCTTCCAACAGCCTCCCCGTGCTCTCCCGCCGCGTTCCCCTTCCTCCTTGCCTCGTTTCTGCAACCAGGGGCTGCCGCCTCAAGACGTGCGGTTGCTGTTCCCACAGGGCATGAACATATGAACAGAGGAGAAAGAGAAGAGATGAAGAAAACAGAGGCAGAGAACAAAGAGAAGGAGAGATAGGAAGGTGGAACAACCCTTGCTTTCCAGGTGCAGCAGAAAGCCCTCGGTGCAGCCAGCTTCCCTTGCGGGGAGCTCCAGCTCCATATGCCCAGCAAAGTGAGGTACCACTTCAAACTGGGGGCCCAGCATCAGAGCACTGGCCTTGAAACAGCGGCCTTCAAACTGGCAACGCTGATCGCTACCGAGGAGCCGTGACAGCAAAATAAGCAAGAACAACCATTGTGTGGGAAGGGACTGCAGGCCATCAAACCCCCGCTCCAGGTCAGAGGAGCTTATGAAAATCAGCCACAAACTTTAGATCACGCTTCTAAAAGGGGACTCCAGCAGCTTTCTTTGCAGCTAGTCCAACTTCATGAGAAACAGACCTAGCTGGAGCTAGATTTAAAACCATTTCTCCAGTTTACAAGAGAAGGCAACGTCTAGAGACCAGCAACGCAGCACCATGACAATTCCAGTTAGAATGGCAGGGGAGATAAAACTGTGTATGGGAGAAGTGCTAATGGAGAAGCTTGTCTACAGACTCTGGTACTGTAAGGAAAGGGAAGAATAAACCGAATTACAAAAAGTCGGTGGCACACGTTGTACTCTGCTCACACGGCCAGTGGAACGTGCTGTAGAGGGGCATGGCAAAGGCCAAGAGCTCTTGAGTCAGAGAAGGGTCAGGGCTGCGTGGACACGACGGAGTGACATCCCCCGTCACTTGGGCTGAGGCCGTTTGCATTCTAACAGTCCAAGACAGGGGTACCCCGGCGTCAGCCAGGAAGGAGCATCGATTCGAGGGGACAGTGTTGTGCAATAACCTGCATCCTGTGGTTTAGTCCTGAAGAACTGTGGGACGCTGTCAGAGGCGGTTTAATGGATAATTTGGGCCACGGCCACTTTTGTTCTAGAAATACCATCTAAATGCAGGCTTGACTGCTTGCACATGTGAAGACACTGCCTGGACTCCCCCATGCTCTGAGTGCTCCATTTTTTTGACAGAAATACGATGTACAGTCAGTGCCTGATGAATTTGTGCACAAGTCAGAAATTCAATGAAAGAGAAATTTTCCTAATCCTTTTGGCCTAGATGCGTACTTTTTAATGTAGTCTTTCAGTTATTTCTATTAGTGAGTTAAATGGCTCTAGCGAACAAATTCTTCTTTGCTTACGAGAGGATTTATCACAGCTCTTCTCTTATTTCAGCCATCTTACTCTTTTAGTTGGAGATGGTAATTCTCCACCAGCAAGTCATGGCACACAGACAGTGAAAAGATGAGTTCTCAGCACAAATCTCATGGGTTGGGAGGAACTATCCCTATGCTCAGCAGCTATCAACTGTCAGGAAAAATCTAGCACAGCTATTCATGGAAAAAAGAAATGCCGAAGATAATTTTCTGTATCTCTAGAAAAAATAATGACCTCCCAGGAAGACTTGTGATTCACGAGTGAAGAGAGGGTGGTGGCAGAGGACTGGGCTAGCAGGGAGTAAAGAGGTCTTAATGACAGATTTGGCCTGGAGTCAAGTATCCCCATAAATCTGGAGGAAATACAGCTAGAGACAAATAAACCCAAACGCATGAGAGTTGCCAAGAATAACAGGAAATAAATTTTCTTTTAATATTTTTGTGTGCATTATATGGACTCTAGCATCAAAACGGTGTTCTCCTGGAGAGGAGCACCTCTTCCTGTCCCTGCTGAAAGCAAGCAACAGAAAGGCTTCTAACCATTCCCCAAACTCTATGAATATTAAATTTCTATATACTGTACAGTAGCTATGTTATACAGTTATATATCTATATCTATATCAGCTTACATTCAACTCTAAATACAGACTGGAGACTTGGCTTAGTCCAATTTCCAAGAGCTCCCTCTAACATTTCATCTCCATCCTGCCTTCCTCCACACAGGCAAATTCCACAGGCGTCCCAGCATAGAAGTCAGCAGCTGCCAGTGGCTCGAACGTCTTTGAGATCCAGCTTTCAGTGCCCTCCTCTCTACAGAAATGTGCACACTATCAGTACAGAGAAATTCCTCCTCTGTCCCTAGTCCCAGGAGCCTCAAGTACTCAGGAGGAGCATCATCCTCTGTGTAGGGGTGGGATGCCCCTATGTATAGGATGAAATTCCAGTCACCACGTAACTTGGAATTCTTTCTCCAGTATACTAGATTAATAGAGATTTAGCCCATCTATGTCCGATTTTGACCTCATGTGGAACAAATCTGTGTCTGCACAGGGTGTCTATCCCTACATCGAGGATGTAACCAGCTTCTTGTTTCATACAGCAGAAATCTAAGTCCCAGGGAGAGGCTCTTAATTGTTTTGCTCTTTTTTAAAGAGACATCTGCCCTCTGTGCAGCAAACTGCCTCCTATATTGTGTGACTCTGGCTCCGTGCAGCAGACCAGTGCTCCCGCAAGGCTGAATGGTACTCATTTCAGCAGCAGAATACACAATGTGACGGGGGTGAATGCCCACTCTAGCAAACTGGCTTTCCATTAGTCGAGAACAACACTTAGGGAACCTAGAGACAGGGTCTTGCTGATCTTCTGCTGCAGTCAGCTAAGCTGCTCAGCTCCAGTGCCCCACAGAATCAAGCCACTAAGAGTCACATCGAGTGATTGATACACTTCAGACAGCTGTTCCCCACTTACTCTATCCAGTCTTACAGTGAAAACTGCCCATGTAGCTGGAAATGTTCTCCATATATCTGGAAAACAAAATTCTCAAGCACAGACATCCAGTGCTACCAGAGTGAATTATTTTCCCCGGGTTGGCCTGCCTCTATAAGCACTTATACCTGCATATACGTTTACCTCCCCACCAGCACCTGGCTCTCTGCAGGTCAGTACGGCCAGAGAACCTGCAGGAAAACCCAAGGATCCCAGATAATGATCTTCTCCTACATCCCATTCCAATGTGTGACTCCTTTCTGCTTTGTGCAGGAGCTCCCAGGCCAGGAGGTAGGAACTCAAGTGGAGATACTGCAAGCAGGCTCAGCAACTGGAGAGTGTGGAGGTAGCCAGACCAAGACTAGTCACTGGGACAAGCTAATTCACTGCAAGTTCCCAGCACTGCAAGGACACACAGGTTCTTTGTGGGCTCTTTTGGACTTAGGAGCGGAGGCAGTCATACTTACTGCTCCCTGGAACTTGCCTGGAATGGGCATCGAGAGATTTCTTCAATGGGAAGGGAGGGACAGAACAGAGAAGAGGAGAGGAGGGAGAGGAAGAGGCAGCACTCTGTCCCAACATAATCTTCTTGAGAAAAATATAATGCCATACTAAATCCAGAACTCTTCCTTTTGGTAGCAGTTGCTTGCAAGGGAGGCAATGGGCTTGCGACAAAGAACTTCCCAGAGGTAGTTATAAATGACCTTCTGCCATACAGGGACAATGAGGTTTGCCTTGGGTTGAGGGCAGCTCATCTCCCAGTTCTGTCAGTTCTCTGAGGCCAGCAGACACAGGAGGAGGCTGTGCTATCACACAGCAAATGCAGTGGCCCAGGAGGACCAGAGAGGCTCAGGCTGACTAACCATATCTGAAATCATACTGATGCCACACGAGAAACCTAGGTCAGGAGTCCTAGGGCATAAAGGTTTGCACTCCTCCACATGAGATGCAGCTTAGGGCATCTGTACCGTTGGAGAGGACTATATCCTGTCCCCATGTCTGTCTCTCTGCAGGGGCAAAGCAAGAGAAGATGCAGCACATTTATAAGGACCTCTGGGAAACGAGCAGTTCATGGCCTGCCAGAGTTTGAGAGAAAAGAGGGGAACATCCCACATCCTCAGCAACAGATTTAGAAGATGACAACAGCCACCGTGACAGACTAGCAGACAGGGGACTCTGTGTACTGCGGCACCTGAAGAATAGGATGTGGAGGAAGGCAGAGAGGCAAGGAAATGGTGGGGAAATCACAAACAAGAAGGACTTGTCTTGGGTTGTAGGTAGTGGATGATGATTTCTCTTCGCTCCCTTCCTTTGTCTCTCCTCCTGTTGGTAGCTCACAGAGCATCAGGCCCTCTGCGCTGCTGCTCCAGGAGCTGTCTGCAAGGGAGATGCAAGGGTTGCCCAGATCGGCGGAGACGTCGAGAAGGAAGGCCAGCCAGCTGGCGACAGATTTCATCTGAAGACACAGCAGACACAAGTTGACAATCAAAGCTTCCTTCAAGTTCTTCACCACCAGAATAGTTAGAGGTACATCCTTCACTGCATCTACAGAAACTGTCGGAACTGCTGAATCCTCATATATATGAGGCAAGTGAGCAAGTCCTTAGGCTTTTATTCATTTCCTTCTGGTTTCATTCATGTATAATAAATACTAAAATCACTTGTATTTTGCTGCACCAAAGACTGCATAAGAAATCTGGACTGGATCCTGTTTCTATTCATGAATAGAAATACTGAGAGTTACTCTTTAACCTCAAAGGAATGCAACTTTGAGTAAGGGCGTGTCTGGGGCTAGTAGAGCATGATCAAGATCAAGGAAGGCAGAGCTCTCGTACTTCTTGGTAGTACAATATCTTACTTCCCAGCATTTTTCATGGCATGCATACTGGATGCAAGGCCACATTGCATTACCCTAAACCCAAGTCCAGGGAAACTACTACATATGGTTTGGAGCTGGGTAATTAGTTAGCTTGGAGACTCTATCAGATGGCTACAGTTATTCTTCTAGGCTAGCTTGTGCTACCACTCACCTTGCATGACCTCATTCTCCTTGCAGACAATGCGAGAGCACACCTCCTTGTTTATTACGTACATGCGACGCACACTGAGGGATCACCAGGAACACACCAAGGACAGTAGCGAAAGGCACAGGGACCCAAAGAAACAAAAAAGAGATACAGGCAATAAACATGTATATTCACCAATGAGGAGGCAAATACGAAATTTTTAGGATTAGTCTAGAATAAGGCTGTTGTCAATAGGAGAGTAATCTTTGTCAAGACTTCATGAAATGGCCAAATACTTTAAATACGAATTACAATATAGGTACATTACAGCTCCTTCGTGCTGCACAGATAATAGTTATTGTTCTGTTTTAGTTAACCACCCTAAAAGAACACTCTGAGGATAGGGTTCATCTCACCAACTGGTTCCTTGAGGGAACCTCTAGTCTTCAAAAGAAACAATTGCTGAACTGGATATGCCATTTCTGAAGGTTTTAGGGCTTTTCTTAGGGACTGCTGGTTTCTTACCTTGTAACACAGAGGTAGCTGATACACTGCTTTACTGGTTTGTGAACAGAGTACAGGCGTGTGCAAGGGAACTTTTCTTCACGACAATCTGGGAACACACACACACACAGAGGTGCAATCCAGCATCACTGGCAGGTGCACTCATTCTGGCACATATATAACTTCATCACCAGGTACTGTCCTCCAGGCTTCTAGGGAAGGCCCCCAGCCTCTATTTTCCTCTCTCTTGGGAGAGATGAGGATGGTTTACAGAAGAGGAAAACACAGCAGACATTTCTGATCCCCTTGCCTCATAAGACAAAAGTAAGGGAAAGCTGAGCGAAACGCAAAACAAACCCACTGGGAATCCTCAATACAGAAGGCACATGCTGTAAAGGGGACAGACACAAATAAACTAAACGTAAATTGTAGTCACACGTTTAAGACACGTGTTTCTAATAGATCTTCAGGACACAAATCTAGTTCCTTTCTTTTCTGGACAATCAAACCTGTAGCCAACTATGATGGGTGTTCTTGCATTTCCTTCTGAAATGCCAGGTCTTGGCCACTGACAATGACAGAATACTGACCCAGTGCATCTGGTCTGGTGATCTGCCGTTTCCTCCCCTCCCAGGCATGCCACTCGGGGAAGATTTCAGCTTCCGCTACCATCATTCTCCAGTAGTTCTAACTCAAGGAACAGGGTGAAGGGAATTTTCCAGGAGACAAAGCTCAGTGCTCAGCCAGCATCTGCCTGGAGACGTAACAGGGTGGGTGACAGTGGCTCCAGGAGGGGATGCAGGTAGCAAACTTAAACGTACCTGATGAAGCCGTCGTAGTTTCGCTGTCAGACTGAACTGGAAGACAGAGGGAAGCAAAGTTAGTGTGATTTACCACGATTCCCTCCTAGCCATTCAGCTTACTCAAAACAAATAACTGGAAAGTTCTTTCAAGAGCCTGCCATTGTAACTTCTAATGTGGAAAAAGATTTCATTGTTACTGACGTGAAACCATAAGAGAAGGCACAAATCCAATATGCATCTAGTGCCAGCTACCCAAGCAACAATGCTAAAAATCTGTCCAAGCTTTACCATAAAGGATTACCACTACTGTTCAAAATTACACTGTAAGGGCATCTTGCCTTATAATTCAAAAGGTGGGGTACACTTATTCAGTTGCTGTAACTGCCGTCCACCTAGAGAATAAGCGAAGGAGCCTGTGACTGCCTCTTCCTAAGGAAATGTGACTCCTTTAAGAAACAGCATTCTCAGACCACTGGTTCTTTAACGTTCATGACAAGAGGTCAAAAGGAAGGTGGGTTGTTATTCTCTCTGATAAAGCAACCCACCTATACCACAGCAAACCAGTACTTTTCATTATTTACCCAGTGACAAACTGGAAAGGAACTCAGAGCACTGATTGCCAGGTGTAAGTTTGCATCAACAGTTATAGAGGACTTCTACTTCTCCTGCTCACATGCCATAGTGTCAGCCAGAAGCACAGACAAAACACGTGGATGTACAGTGAAGGAGCCTTTCAGGCCTCAAGGCAGTCAGGGAAGGCAGGATTTTGGGTGTGCAAGGGACTGGGCAAGGAGAGGGAAGGGGGGTCCACAACACTGGGTTTTGAACTGAGAATAAACTCACCAGGACTAAGAAGCACAGGTGGCGTGACAGCTGCAGCTGGAAAAAAGAGAAGATGTTCTGAAAGATCTTAATTTGAGCTTCCAGCCTCTTTCCCCCCTCCCACAGTTCTGCCGATGGCTCACCATCCCACACCTGGTTCACAGACAACACTAATCATGATGTTGTTACCATCTGACTTGTCAGAGTAACTGCAGCCTTTCCCTGCGAATATGCTGGGTGTCCTAGAGCTGATGGGATGCTGCAGAGCAGAGATGGGTCCCATGGTACATGCTTTGCAAAGAGTTTCTTCTTGATCCCTCAACAATAACTGTTTTGAAGCCCAAGTCTGCTGGAAAGGCTTCACATTTAATCTTTTCAGGTTTAGATATAGGTTAGCCACTGTCAGTTTGGTCTGGAAACCAAGTCTTATCTACCCTCCTACAGAGCATCAGGTTTCATACACTGAACAGGAGACTGACACAGGTTGTTTTCACCTCCCAGCCCCACCAGGAAGATCACGCAACTTGCGTATACAATATTGTGCTTCCACTTTTCTTCTCCAGTGGACAGCTGGTCAGCTTGATCCCCAATACTCTAGCCAACTGATGAGCAGAGTCCCAGGGCAGAGGAAAGACTGTGGAAGTGCTGTCCTGGAGAACAGGACACCACTCTCAGATGAGCTCTCCAACTCGCCCAGCACACTTCCCAGAAATAGCCAAGCATTGCTACCTCTCCTTTGTCTTTGAGCCGTATCATCGACCAGATGTGTTCTCCCTCTCCCTGCCCTGCCTGGCTCCCCTGCCACCTCAGAGGGATGTGTTTGACAGACTGCCCCAGCAGAGAGAGAAAAACCATGGCCGAGGCCAGTTGTGCCAGATTCGAAGCAGGACGCGTACAGAAAAAGCGGAGAGGCTTCTTCTTTAGCCTCTGGCCCTCTCCTCCGTTGCCCCAGCAGGATTAGTCTGTCTTGTCAATGCCTACACTCCCATCAGCTCTGTGTCCTTCCCCTGGGGCTCTCTCCACAGCAAGGCTTAGCTCTGTAAGGAGGCACATTGCATGCTATAGGTGCTCTTTCAAGAGGCCCCCACTTACCCTACCTTTTGCACACATTTTGCTGCCCCCCAGTGACACAGCCACAGGCACAGCAGGGAAAACAGTACTAAAAGAACAGTATTTCCACCTCCCCACCCCACCACTGCTCAGAGTTTGCTTTATTACTGTCTTTTGGGTTGTTTTGCCACTTCTGTCTCCTGAGCACTCAAGCATGGCCGCTAGCTGTCAGCAGGCACGGACACAACCTGTGTCCCAGTGCTGCCCAGTTAACTGGTGAACCTGAACAGTTTCTCTCCCTCATCATTTAGTCTCTTCCTTCCTGCAACCTTCCTTGGAAGCCTAGGCCACGCGAGCTTCAGATTTCATGGCTTCCTGCAGCGCAAACAGCTTCAGAGAGCCCTGGTACACCAGAGGAGATTGGAATTTCCTTGGAGAACAGGCCATGCAGCCACTCTAAATTCACCTCCCTGCCTGGAGCACGGGACGCACTCCCAGACAGCCATAAACTCTGGAAGAACACCGCTAGATGTCAAAAGTGGGGAAGAGGAGTTTCTGAGCATAACGGGTAATTTCTGGGTCTATGTAGGCAGAAGTAAAGGTGAAAAGGGGAAAAGAATCCTGAAGTTGCCAAGAGACAGGAGCTTACCAGAGGTGCTGATGAAAGAGTCGGTGCTAACTTGACCTGGAAAAGAGAGAATGTCCTTGAGAGAGCTTGTCTTTACTTTGTGATCCATTACACAGCTAGCCATAGCTAGCTTGAATTTACCTTGGCTGCCACAGTAGGCTCATGAGACAGTGGGATCCAATCCAGTAAATACATAAATAAACACAGTACCCCCATCCCACCCGTATCCGCCCCCCTTTCCAGTGACTGGTCTGGGACTGGATATTAGTGCACATATTGCATCAACCCTTACTGAACTCTGGATTCATATTCTGACTTCTCAGGTATGGCCACTGTGGGCATCTCCATGGGAAAGAAAGATGTCCGAAACGAAGGTGCTGACGGCTCCTGCAGCCGTAGGATAGGCAGCCGAGGCACCCACTGCAGAGGAGGAGGGAGGCAACTCAAGAACCCAGCCTTGACTGCGGAAATTCATCAGCAGATGAGTTTCGTTGAAAGGCAACTGATGGCAAAGCTGGGGTAGGAGTGTTGGGGGGGGATAAAGTGTGAAGGAAAGGGAAGCTTAGTGGACATGTTTTGGACTGGCTTCCAAACAATTTTCTGGGAAGCCCCAGGTATTACACACGACAGGCTCATCGCTGGGAGATGTCTGATGGCTTAGCCAGGGGCTTCACTTTGAAGAAAAGGCAGGCACTTGGGGTGATTCCGGTGCTGAGCGTGATGCAAATATACGTTCATCTTACTGTGTCACAAAAATGGAAAAAGGTCCAGAGGGATAAAGCAATTCACCCCCAACAACATGGCCAGTATGAAGACCAGTCAATATCCTTTCTCAGTGGCCTCACTGCTAAAGCCTCATGCCACCTGTGCACCCTTTCTCTTGGGATTTTCCTGAGCAGCAGTAGAGTTCCCCAAGTATCTCAGGGCTGAAGAGTTATCAGCTCTTGTGGATCTCCCACAACCCTTGACTGTGAACATAACTTCATGGGCTTCAGCCAAGTGTCCAGGACCCCAACACTAGTGAATTACTTGTAAAGAACACACAACAATTAGCAGGTTGTCTTGGAGGGCTCTGTTTAATCTTCACTGAAAGGCAGGCTCACAATGTCAGAGGCAAGGAAACAAAGAACAGCATTTGCAATTCAACAGGCTGTAACTCCACAGTGGGTCACAGGAGCAGTCTTTAGCACATAACATGCTTGTAATACTTACCAGTTCCACTTTCCAGTTCTTGCCCGTTGACCACCCATGGAAACCAGTCTGCAAGAGAAGAAGACAGGGGAGTGAGGAAAGGACAGAGAGATGGATTTCTATAGTCCGCAGGCTTCATGAAATTTTTATGAGCTGCTTATCTGTCCAGGAGACACCACTGCCCTCTGCTGTAGGGAGAAATGCTCTCTTCTCTGCCTCGGCCTCCATTGCTGGCTGGGTTTGTTCTTTACAGACCTGGGGATATAGCGGGTCCTGATGCTATCCCTGCTGCTTCCTCCAGGGTCAAAGGCTAGGCACAGGGACAAAACAGTAAATACCTCCAGATCTGCGACTGGACTTTGCGTTTCGGAACCCCCATTTGATGCATTTTGAAAACAAACTGCTCATTGCCTCCCTGCTCTGGACATTGGTCAAAATTCCTATCTCCGTTTTACAAAAGAGGAAACTGAGTAATGGAAATTATTTGCTTGGGGTCACAGATTGAGTCATTGGCCCGGTAAGAAACAGGCTGCAGGTCTTGGAGCTCCTTAGGCAAATAATTAATCTTGTCCATCATCCTGCCTGGGTACGGAGCACAGAGCCGAAGATCTTTCCCATCTGAGCCTCTGGGCACACTGCAGAGGGAAAACAGTGAAGGCTTGGCTGTGCGTGCAGTGTGGAAGAGGAGAAATTGAAACTGAGCTAGACTTGTTCATTTGTCCAAAGAGAAAGGGTTAGAGAGCTGCTTCCTTCAGCAGCCAGGAATAGGAAAATATTTCCTGCTAGCCACAGAGGAGGGAAATGTCTGCATAACTGGGGTGGGATGAAGGAAGGATTTGGCAGGAAAAATCCAGAGATCTGGGGCACTGCAGGGATGTGTGCAGGACCAGCCCAAAAAAAACCCAGTACACCCTGCTATGTATCACAAAGTCAGCCTTTAGCTTTCTGCTGATGGGAGCACTGCATGGGTAAAAACTACCAAGTCTGGAGCTTTTGTCTCAGCTCTTCCTCATTCCAAGAGGAGTTACTCGCAGGCTGCAGAGGGACTCTTGGGATCCCTATATAATCCTGCTTTGCAGCATTACAGGAGTCGCTGGACCCTGCTATTCCCTTCCCCACCCAGCTGCCAGCAAGGGCTCAGCTGCTGGTGACGGACCCAGGGAGAGCCAGACAAGTATAACTTCAGTGCACAATGTAGTGCAGCCCGAAACTTTCCCTGTTCTGGCTAATCTCTGAATGGTAACAAGTAGAGGAGAAAAATTGTATCGAACGCTTTCTCATTTGTTTCTGATACAAAAGGAAGGACACAAATTCTGAAACCATTGCAGGGGCCAGCAGTGCTAGATTTGAAATAAGAGTCGTATGGAAAAAGGGGAGAGGGTCCCCTCCTTTTGTCTAACATTGAAAAGTCAGCTTTTACTAGCTTCCCCTCTCACCCCAGGAGATAACTAGAAAACTGGTCCAGGTCTAAACCAACAGGACACAAGGGAAGTGAAACCCTTGTATATGAGGAGAGGAGACAAAATAGATGACTTTCTTAGCAGATTTTCAATCACATCAACTTATATTTGCTATGGTACTCAATTCATATGCTTTATAAATGATCGGACCTTATTGTCCAAGTTGCAATAAATTCATCCTTGAGGTCTCAGAAAACTGCAACCCTAATTCACCAAATCTGTTGCTCACCCAAAACCAAAAGAGATTATGAGAGACCAGCTAGTGATTCCTGTTGTTTTCCAAGTTAAAACAAAACAACAACAAAAAAAACCCCAAACCAAAAATGCTAAAACAAAATACACAAAAGTAAGAAAAATTCCTTTCAGGGCTCCTTCATGCGTCATAGAAACCATAGCCTTTTTTTTCTGCCTCTGACTTTGCAGGCCACCTACAAAAGCTCGTCTCCTGGATGCCTCACCTCCCTTCTTCACAGTCACAAACATGACATCCTCTACTGTGCACCTTTACAGGAAAAAGTGCTATTGGGAGCAGAATCGGGGTTCGGCATGAGGGTAGGATGGAGGAGAGCAGATTGGAATGACCTGACCTGAGTGCGATAGGTGCAGTCATCTGTCTCCTACATACAGTCTTTCCTGGCTAAAGCTTTTTCCATTCACTGGAATTAATCTTCTTTTGCTGTCTGTCCTGAGTCCCCTGACTACAATGTCTGATGCTGCCCTCTTGTTTCGTTCTTTTTTTGTGTGGTGGTTTTGTTTGTTTTTTAACAAATTCGATCCCACCTGAGTTTTTGCCAAAGTAACTCCAAGCAAAGAAAGAAGTGGAGCAATGAAACAGAACAACAACAACAAAAGCAGAGAGTGGTTTGAACTATGGAGGTTAGGTTTCTCAAAACAGCTGTACCAAAACCTCCAAAACCTCCCGGCAACCGAGTGGCCTGGAATGGGGCTGTTCCAGCAGGAACCACTAGCGACAGCAAATGTTTCACAACTATGACAGAAGAAATTTTGTGGAGCACTACGAAGTGCTCTGCAGTACACGCAAACACAGGTGGTACAGCAGTTCATAGTAAGCACAAAGCACAGCTAACCCTCTTTCTCAACTGGTCCTGGCTGTTTTGCTTACCCAAACATCCCTGCAGTGGAGACTGTGGACCCCTGTCTCTTGTGACTCCCAGTGCTTACTGGAGAGTGGATACATATGGGAACAAGTCCCCAGTTCCTGAATTTTCCCTTACAAGCCTATATCCACCTTGCCTTTCCTGTTTGGTCCTTCCCCCTTCACCATCCATCTACATGTCTGTGTCTTTCTCCTCAGGCCATTGCACATCAGCCTGTGCAGGGAAGTCTGCGTGGCCAGGGGGGAGAAGAAATCCTCCCCCTGGCATAAGGACTCACCAGCTGGGGATGAGGAGAGTGCTAACAGACACCACAGTACACAGGCTCCAGAGATCTTCATCCCTGTGGAGTGGAGGAGAAAGGAGTCAGGGGAAAGCTAAGGCAGGAATGGAGATACCCTCCCCTATAGCACAGAAACTCCTTGCTTGCCACCTTCAATTCCCTCTCAAGACCATTTGGTCTTCCCAGCCTCCCTCCCACCTGTCTCGCTCCTAATCTGACCAGTTTTCCAGGTGCTTCTGAAACATTTTGGATTGAGCATATAACTCCATCTGCTTGCTTTCTCTTTCCACCTCCTCTCTTCAGTCTCCATCTCTTTTCTCACCCAGGTGGCTAAGCCCTCCTCCACACACCCCCCCCAGCATGCAAAGAAAAGTTTCCCCTTGTTATCTCCCTCTGCTCTCTTCTACTTTTAAGTTATCTTGAGGAGCACTGGGAGAACAGGCAGGGTCCCCATCACTTACTGCAGCCCTCGGTCTCCGCTCCCTTCAGCAGCAGACGCTCTCTGTCTTTCCCCTTCAGCCGTCGCCTCCACTTTGGCTATTGGG